AGATGTCAACAGAGAGTGATTTACTCTTGTCTACACTTTGCTTGGCACCCCATCCATCCCTCTTACACTTTCTGGGGACGGAAGTAAGTAAAAGAGAGAGAGTGCCATTGCTCTTGCTTCCTTCACTACTTCTTGACCATATCCTTCTCTATTCCCTTCTCTCTCGTCTCATTCCCCATCCCTTCCTCCCTTCCCAATCAGATTTTCCTTGGCTATTATTTTCTCTGTGGACTATAGACTTGACCATGATCCTGGACTGAAAGGATTTGGTCCATTTATAAAGCTGTTGTATGAGTGCAGAGAGGGAACAGGCCATCATTTTTTTTTTGCTCCGCTCAGCAGAATCACAAAACTTCCCCAACTGGGCCTGTTATAATGAAAAGAGATTCCTCGTCTGTGAAGATTTAGCAACTGTATTTACAATGTAGAGTGTACATAAATTTTTTTTTATGCTAATGTAACTCGAGGACTCCTTTGCACCCACAGAATATTACTAGACAATCATCCCATCCAGTCTGGAGGGTCTTGGTTTTGCATGTTTTTCTCTTTGATAGATCAGTAAGATCATGATCAACATGGAGTCAATCAAAGTGATTGTTTTTCTCAAGTTTATAGTATATCAGCATTAGTGTTGAGATCTCTCCTTCACTTTTGATGACAGTGTCAGTCCTAATCGGCACTTAGCTGCACAGTGTGAGATGACATGCCTAGATTACAAACAGTCTTTTGTCTGGTCCTAATGTTACCCCTGCTCCTGAAATGTGTCTTTGTGTTTTGTAATGGTTTTTGTGCACCACAGAAATGTCGCTCTGGGTTTGTTCTGGTGGATTCCTTGAAGCATATCCTTGTTTCTGGGGAATCTTTGAATCTTTTTGATGGATGTGGCTTTTCGCTGGATTGTCATTCCTAAATATTAAATTAATATGCCTGTACCTTTCATATAGGGGTGAGGGATGTCACAATTTTTGATTGTGGACAATTAAAATGTCTCCACGATCTGCTTTTGAAGAAATATCATACTATTGTGCTAGTGTATTCTATCAGTTGCAGTTTCACATTCTATCACATTCTAACAACTTCAGAAGATCTACCTAGCTGTGTCTCCGATTTGTGACTGATTTCAGGATGCAGAGGGAACTTTATTCCATTCTTTTTGGTTCTGTCTGAAACTCTGGAGTCACTGGCAAGATATTTTTTTCTTTGCATATATTTTTCCGTGACATATGATCAAACTTTGCCTCCTGAAATGGACCTGGCCATCTTTGGCTATTCGGACACAGTTGTCTTTGCCCTTTTTTTTTTTTTTTTTTTTTGCAGCTGGCATTAATGCTGGGCATGGTTGGGGCCAAGATAATTATATTAAGGGATTGGAAAGACACTGCTCCCCCAGGTGTGTGTGGTATGGGTCGATTTAAGGGTAGGTTAATGTGTAAGGGAAGGGCCAACTGTGTAATTGCAAATGTAATTACCTAAATTAATTATAGCTATAATTACATGCTGGTATTTTTCAAATATAAGTACAATGTAAAAACATGTATCAACACAATAAGTCCATTGTATCAAATTATTAATTTCAATGCAAGTACATGATACTTAAAGCCACTTAATATAAAGTGGGACCAAAAAATCATACAGAAATGGGGAATGTAGAAATGAATGTAACAGACTGACATTTCGGTGATGCATAGATAAACTTTGAGCCAATGAAATTTCCTGAGCCAATAGGATAGAAATGATATATTGTGCAGCTATTATGCAATTAGTCTGTCAAATGGTCTGTGTGAGATTTTAGTCTGTTTTCTGCCTGTTTACAAAAACGCTTGAGGAAACAGACCACAATTATGCTTGTTTAGGAGCAAAGCATCTTGGTCCTTCAAATCCTATTGAATAAAAACAGTGTGTGTTCTGTTTTGGTGAGAGTCCTTGATTTTATGGTGACAAAAGAGCTTCATTTTCTGCCTGCGCTTGAAATGAAAACAGGTTTTTCTGTTACAACTGTGCTGGAATGAGTCGGAAATTACATTCTCTTATCGGAGTTATCGTGCATCATTCTGGAGTGCAGAAAGACAGTGTGGATGTTTATAATAGATCCACTACAGACCTATGCCTGGGTGGTTTTGTCACCTAAGCTGAGTGTCTCTGTCGTACCCATTCTATCAATTTGTGTTCAGAAATGCCCTATTCAAAGGTTTTAATGCTTTTTTCTGTCTTCCCAGAATCAGCAAATTAACTTAAACAGTTTTAATCCCATTGTTAAAATTTTAACACTGAATTGATTAAAACTGAATAGGATAAACACTGAATTGGTCAGCAAATCCGTTGAAGAGTGATCAAGCAGTCAAATCAAAATTGTATGCACCTTTCAAGGGTGTTTTTAGGTGTTGTTTTTGTGTCTGTACTTAAAGTGCTTGAGCATTTTCACAGATTACATCCTCTCCAGCACCTGATCATGCGCACATGTCCTTCATCAGCACTCAAATCGCCACACTATAAAACCCCAGCACACACACACAAGCCTTGTTCGAAATTGCCCCCTAGATCCCCATTCACCAATCTGTACGTTACTCGACTATTCGGACACTGAGTGTCCGCTATTGCATAATTTGTGCTTGCTGTTTAATAAAGCAAGCTTTTGAAACTTAGCAAACTGGCAGCTGCAGTAGTAATGAAGAGACTTATATTGAACTCTTTCATTAGCCTAGAAATCTAGACACACCCTAGCGGCAGCAAAAACCATTTCGCTGCCAGTGTGGTCAAGCAATTCTCAATAGACATTTTTGCTGGAAAAACCCAATTCAGGTCATGCCAATCACATCGTAAGGTATGGCAAATAATAGTTTTAAAAATGTGTATATGATTGGGATGTGGCTATATCATTATGTTGTGTATTTATCCCCGCTAAATGCATTGAGACTGCTTGTGTGTATTACTGGGTAATTGGTTGAATAAAGGTTTTAGTTTTTCCATGAACCTCAGAAAACATAAATCAGAATGAACCCAGGGGAGATTTTATTGATTAAGTAAACCAGCCTCAAGGTAATGAACTTTCTTTAAGCGAACATCCTTCATGTTATATTGTGTTATATTCATATAAAAGAATAATTACCTCAACTGCTTAGAAATTACTCCTAAAGTGTATTGTACGTATCCTAATGTGCTGTTCTTCAGGGTTTGCAAATCCATATTTATAATGTATTTGCTTCAGAGTAGCTGATATCCAGGTGTTTTTCAGTTGCTAAAAGGTGTAAACTGTTGTTTAGGAAAGGGAAACATATTTGTGTGCTCAAAAAATAGCATATTATATTACCCGGCTCCCTAATACTTGATTTTGATAGGTTAGTTGTGACATTCGGCATCATTTTTGTGTCATAACCAACAAACTGTACTTTACTGTTTTAAATCTTTCATATCATTCCACTGTCTCTTTCATCTCACATAAAGAATTAATTTCTTACCAGATCTATTTGTCATGTCCATTTATATATTTGCTAAGTATCTGTGTAATTATCTGCATAATAATATAGTTAGCCAGTCATTATCACAGAAGAATCCTCTTCAGGATGACCCTTTTATAAGTAGGTTTATTCTGTGACAATGACCAAACTGACTCTCCATTAAATTCTGTGCAATATCAATACACTTTCTGTACTAAGCATTATTTCCTTGCATTCATTCTTACAATTAAACATGTCTTATTTAATTTGTATTGTTGTCAGGAAGGAATCAAAGCAATCCGGCTCACGGTAATTGAATGGAATTATTCTTGCCAGAATCCGGCAAGAATAATTCCATTCAGTTACTGTGATGTTAAGCGTGGTACTACAGTAGTCGTCATATTCCTCATTCATGATTTTTTTTTTTTAATACATGGGGTAACATTGAAAGCATACCTATCTCAGTGTGTCTCCTATTACACACAGAATTGGTTAAATATCTCTGGCTGTGTTTGTATGTGTGTTCATATCGTTTTATTGGTGTTTTGGTTCACATAATGTAAGTCATTCCCATTTAGAAACTCCCAGCTCACATATGAACTGCAGTTTATACCATTTGTAGAAAATGGGGTTGTGTGTGATAGTGTGCATGCAGCATGAAGAGTGGGTGAGATCATGTGATAAAAAGCAATTCTGGGTGTATCTAGGATTTTCTTTCATATATCAGTTTTCATTTGATCTTTTCTGTGATATAAAAGCTACAGCAGATGCTTCTCCAGTTTTCAGACTTGATGGTCTGAAATGATCTTTATTGTTGACTGTTGTCATTCAATAGAACATTCTTATATCTTCTATAGTATGCATGCATGTGTAGTTATTTTAAACTAAGACTATTGGTCTCATACAAACATACAACATCACTCATCCCAGACAAGCATTGTTTACTACACGTGGAGGTTAATTATGCGTTTTATGGGCCATTTACAAGCTCAGGCGAGAGATCCCACAGTGTCCTTCTCACCTCATGAAGGACTTGTCAGGGAACATAAACCATCCATGCTCTACTAGTGAGTTTTTTTTTTTCTCTTGACCATGACACAAACTTTAACACATAGCCAGGCGTACTTTAACAATCATCACTGTGATTCTCCTATGAATCAACTCACGGACACCCTGCCACCATTCACCTTGACTTCCTTTCAGTCTCATGTCTGTCCTCCTGGCACAGACTAGAGAAAGTGATAACGCATACCACAGTTTGGAACAAGAACATCCAGACCCTCACTGATTTGAGTGATGCAGCTGTGAGTGACTCAAATCAAATTGAAAAATACACTGAGAAAAAATCTGTCACGACACTTGTTTCTTATAACTTTTACCTCAGGGGATGATTTATAATCAAAAGTTTATTTAAGATGGCTGTTTTACCCCCCTTTCCCCCACACACATATTTAAAATATGCCTTGCATTAAACCAACACAATGAGTTTAAGTAAAATCACAATGCTTCTTCATAACGTGTATGTTACAATTTTATGCAACTGAACACTGTTTATTCTTTCTACAGCAACTAATGAGAGAGCGCCAGCAGATGGCCAGCCGTCCGTTTGCCTCTGTTATAGTGGCACTCGATTCTCCAGAGGAAGAGGAGGAGCTTCTGCAGGGCCAGGTGGAGGTGGGTACCTTCCATTGTAGGCTTGTAGATATTTGTGAAACAGTAGATGGAATTAATTGTGGTATGTATGTATATATATAGAAAATACACACGTTTTCTTTACATAGCCCAATATCACTAATCATAATCCAAAACATCTGTTTTGGTTGAGCACTTGAACAAACTTGTTAATTTACCTATAAATCATTAGAAAATATTTATTGTAAAAAATTATTATAAAAATCTGAGATGGTAATTTCTTAATTGAGAAAAACCCCTCATGTACACTTATCTACACTGGAGAAAAATGTATGGATTCGCATGTTTGCTTACTTTTAAATTTATTATGCGGGTCTTTGAGAACCACCTAATTATACATGATGGGGTTAGGCCATTCATGCCCATTCACGCCCATTGTCTTTCCAAAAAAAAAAAAAATGTTTTTCACAATTTAAAACAATTCACAGTTTTATGTGAATGATTAGGCAGGTTGATTTTCAGATCATTTTGATGAAAAAAAAAAAAAAAAAACTCTAGGCCACAACATCCTTTAGTCAAAAGTCTTATGGACGCATATTTAGTATGTGTTTTGTGGCCTTATTTCAGAAACTTTCATTTTTTGTTTTTTTCAAACAATATTCTCTCAAAAATACAAACATGTACATACATGTTGCTCATATATTATAGTAGCCCTGTTTGTACTAAATAGTGTAATTTCACCTGTGCCATTAATATGTTTATAAGCAACTGAAAAAAGCACAAATGTCAGGGCATGTCAAAAAATCTCAAGGACCCCAAAAACACCTTAGACCCCAGAAGGATAACCTCCCACACACACACAAAGCACGCAAGAAACTCTGTTCACACGAATAAGCTGCATTCTAACACGCATGCAAAACTGTATCACATGTGTGTTACTGTGGTAAATTTATTCATCATACAATTTTTTTCTATGTATGTCTTGGAGAGGACAGTAGTAAAATTGACTGTAGATAATGCAGAGAAGGTGGTTTGAGGATCAGGAAAGGACCCCAGTCAGGCTACAACTTGGGTCTCTTGTACATCTCTTTTACATGTGTAGTACCTACCAGACAATGTCTCAAATTACATTTTTCCTTTCACTGCATTGCCAGTATTTTGAACCCTTCAGAACTTAGACAATGTGATGTTGCATTACTTGTTTATCTATTTTCCCATAAGACTGTCTTCTGTTTCTTTTGTTTGTTTTAATAGAAGAGAGTGGAAATCGTGAATTTGCAACAATTTCCTCATTCAGAGGTTGATTAAACAACATCTGGTGTAACAGTGTAGTCTCCATTTAGCATAATTGCATAATATATGGGTAAATATTCGCTCATTAAGCAGCAAGGCCAAAGAGCAGGGCCAGCATTACATTTCATGCCTAAGTTGATGGGTAAGCACAGGCTGCGGATGGATGCTTTCACTTGCCATGAGCATCTGTAGAAGTTAGAATGGAAATGTTTGTTGTCAAAGTAGCATACTTTCCACAGAGGTAAAGATAGCATTTGATCATTTTCAACGCATTCTCATCCTTTAACGTCATATACAACGCTATATGACAAAACGGCGCCATACTACGCACATGGCACCCGTTATCGTTAATATAACACGTGCTGTGAGGGCTAAGTTTAGGTGTGGGGTAGGGTGTGCGTGTCATATTCACGCTAAAGGATTTATAACGTCTTGGGTTCGCGTGTTATATTAACGATAAAGGGTACCATGTGCGTAGTATAGCACCGTTTTTGCATATAGCGTTCTATATGACGTTAAAGGATGAGAACGGGCTGTCATTTTACACTATCTTTCTTTTCACAATGTTTATTTTCTTTGGTACGTGTTATAGGATATGAAGAGATCACATTCCACCAATTCAAAGAGTAATTACTTGATGTCTACTTTACTCTCAGAGATATTCTTTTTACCTGATTTAACCAGGCTGTGATTGAAGTTTACTTATAGCATGCCAGCTGAATTGTTTCGACTAATTTTGATGATATTTGGTGAGATTTCTTCCTCTAATCGGCCCTGTTAGAACTTCTCTCATTTTGTTTCAAAGACGCAGACTTTTTTAAGAATCTTTTAAATTCCATCTGCAATCATTGACCAAGACAGCTTCTTTACATTGTGCGGTTTTGTAGGTAGTGTGTTTTGGAAAAGAGCTCTGGGAACATATGCACGGAAATCTGGATGTGCTTTCAAAATATGCCCAAGCCTCTTAGACTTTTTTTATGGCTGCAATATAATTTGAATCCTACCAGAACACTGCTAATTGCTGGAAGAACATATTGAGTGCTAGAAGTGTGCTGGACCTGCTGTGCTTAAGATCTGGACAGAAGTGTGTGAGAAACTTTCATTGACTGAGGTGCCCTCACTGTTTCCTCCAGAACTCTTCAGGTGCATACAACATCTGCTGTGAATAAGAGCTGCTGTTTCTCTGGGGATTTTTTTCCCCATCTAATTTTGAAATGAAATGAAGTAGAAATATATATATTACTTTAATTATATATATATATGAAGAGTTCAGATGCAAAAGCCTCTAAATGCCATTTGAAATTTTCTTCTATAATGATGATTTTTATCAAGCTTGTATATTTAAGTTCAGTAATTTTACTTAAATGGCAATGATAATTACCTATTAATTGTTATTTAAGTGAAATTACTGAACTTAAATATACAAGTTTGATAAAAATCATCATTAAAGAAGAAAATTTCAAATGGCATTTAGAGGCTTTTGCATCTGAACTCTTCATATATATATATATATATATATATATATATATATATATAATCCGCTAAATGACAGGAGGCATGGTCAACCGAGATTTAATTGGTCTGTTGGTCAAAACAAATAATTATGTGGGAATTATGTTGGGCAGAAACTTAAGTGTGGGATCATTTCAAGAAACATCCAGGCTTATCATTTCAAACAAGAAAGTGTTAGCCTAACACTCCAACCTAGATGAATTTGTGCTATTATTAGGCGCATATCCAAGGGTTTGTGTGGAGTGTGGAAGTAAATTAGTACCTTGCTTACTGCATGACATTTAACTTAAAGTGCCTTTCTCTTTATAGACACATCCACTATACTGTTAGGATGACAAGTCAGTGTCATCAACTTCTTTGCAGTCGACACTGACTCAGAAAACACTAGTTTATTAATAAATCATTGAAATGTTCTGACCAGTGTTAATTTTGACAGCAAATTTTGATTTAGTTTTAGTCATAGTTTTGACTAAAATGCCATCTAGTTTTATTTTAGTCATCTGAATTGTTTTAGTTTTAGTCTAGTTTTACCCACTGTCACTTTAAGACATCAGATCATGTCCAATGACATGCGGATCCAATTGCACTGATGCACAGCCGATACACTCTCAACTGTTTAAGACATAACCGACATATTTTACATGTATACTCTCCAAAACGGACATTTAGACATAATGTTGTGTGTATTTGTCTATTCAAACACGAAAAAGCGCTCAATTCAGTACCCGCACCCTCTCTATTGTGCATAGCTGCACACTTCAGGTCGGGTGTGTGTGCACAGAAAACAGCACGGAATACAGCTCATTTTTTTGCATCGTCACTTGTATCCATATCTATATGTCTGCTCTACTCATTCTCCCAGACGTTTACATTTTTTTTAACGTTTAATGAGACCGCGGCTGATCGACCGCGATCAGCATGCTACAGTACAAATGTGCACATCTACCACAAACGCAGGACATCAGTTCTGACTGGATCACTTCCCAGATCGTCACTAACATTTTCGTCCAGTATTCATTCATTGACGAAAATGTCAATAGATTTTCATCATAGTTTTTGTCATTCAAAACTAGGTTTTATTTAGTTATCGTCTCGCTTCGTCTGTGAAAAATGTCATTGACGACTAAATTTCGTCATTATTTTCGTCAACGAAATTAACACTGTTTCTGACACATTCATAATCATTACTTTTGCCATTAAAATGCTACCAGTCGAACAATGGCTTAAAATTAACAACTACTAGTCGAATAGAAAAATGGTCGAGGACAGTCCTACTATATAGCCTAAGGCAATCCACAAAATAAGCCCCTTATAGCTCAGCTCAGTAGTTGATAACTGCTTGATCGAGTCTTAAATCAAGAGTGTTAAATTATTGATAGATTTTATGGAAGTGTTCCGCTATAAGGTCTAACAACATGTGTAAAAATAACAACCAGACAAATCATTTGCTGCCATTTCTTAGATATGCTATTGTCACATCTGATTGCAGCAGCCTCTATGACCTTGCTGCATTATAAATCAAAGAGGTGAGTTATTAGCATAAATCTTCCATCCATATAATGTCCATACAATGTAATAAAGCTGATGAAGCCGCAGCCCAGAGCACCTCCACTACACCAAAACATATCTCTTTCTGTATGTGGACTGATCAATAGCAGCTCAGTGTTTTTGTAATGCTGGGAGAAATGAATCAATTTCATATGTAATGTTTTAATGTGGCGTATTTACCTCCAGTGGGTGGTGTGAAGATAAAGACTATTTATGACACTTATGAGTTGTCTGACTGGGTAAAGGCGATTAGTATTCACACGCATGCACAAACTCGTGTACACATTCACAGGCTCTAATATGGTGGCAGAGATGTAGGACAAATAAATAAAATTAAAAAAAAACAGCAAAAAAATTAATAAAACCTCTTCATCAGTTTGACAACACGTGTGCTGCACATACTCAACACAACCAAATACAGAAACACACTGCAAATACTCACAACTCAACCAAATACAGAGAATCACTGCAAATACTCACAACGCAACCAAATGCAGAAACACACTGCAAATACTCACAACGCAACCAATTATAGAAACATTGCAAATAGTCACAATGCAAACAAATACAGAAATACACTGCAAATACTCCAAATACAACCAAATGTAGAAACACTGCAAATACTCACAACGCAACCAATTACAGAAACACATTGCAAATACTCACAACGCAACTAAATATTGAAACAT